TAAGTTGGTCTGACCACTGTATGATTGCTACTGTGCTGTTAATATTCTGATGGGAATCTACTGTCTTACCATTCAGCCCAGATCTGATTCTGATCCCACACCAGCTCTTAATTTATAAGTTCAACACTATCCAGGACAAAGTAGCCATTTGTCTGGCACTCAGAATCATAGAATCCCTACAATATGGAAGCAGGCCATTTGGCCCATCGAGCCTGCAATACCTTTCAAAGAGGCACCCACCCCCACCCTATCCCTGTAACCCTACATTTCCACGGCTAACCCACCTAAGCCTGCACACCTCAGGGCACTATGGGCAATTTAGCACAGCCAATCTACCTAACTGGACAAGTACAAACCTTCACACAGACAGTCACCTGAGGCTGGAATTGAACCCAGGTCCCTAGCCCTGTGAGGCAGCAGCGCTAATCACTGTGCCACAGGCCACCCACTCCATCCATCACTTTCAACATTCACTCCCTCCACCATTGACCCTGAGGAACAGCGGTGTGGGCTATCTACAGAAAAAAAAAGCTCTGCAGTACTTCATCAAGGTTCCTTCCAAAGCAACCTGCAGCCTCTACCACCTCAAAAGACTAGGGCAACAGATACATGAGAACACCCCCCCCTCCAAGTCAGCCACCATCCCGACTTGGAAATATATCGCCATTCCTTCAGCGTTGCTGGGTCAAAATCCTGGAATTCTTTCCCTAACAGCATTGTGGGCGTCCCTACAGAATGCAAACGACAGAAGAAGGCAGCTCACCACCACCTTCTCAAGGGCAATTTGGAATTCGGAACAAATGCAGGCCCAGCCAGCAACGCCCACTCCAATGAATTTACAAGAAAAAAAATCAGTATTTGTAGTTGATTGTTTATTCTTTTTGAACACACTGAACCTTGCCCTCATCCTGCTGCAGCAGCAAAAAACCGTTTGATTTGAGAAATTTCCAACTGGTGTGAATCTTTATTCAAATGAAATCAGGATTTTGCCGAGATGAGGTGGGGGAATGGTACAAAAGTCTAGGAAAATTAATGGGGAAAGAGGATGGAGCGATATTGAAGAATCTGAAGACAACCAAGATCCTTCAGAGGACAGTGAGGACCACAGCAATGCTGCACCAGGACTATTGCTCAAGTACATTGCTTTGGATTCACATGAGCTCAAAGGTGAAACAGCTGCCAAGGCATTCACCAAGCTCCAGATCTCAGGGGAAGGGCATTTAAGGGGTAACTATAGATCTACACAATGATGCAAGTGTGCAGGGATGCAGAGGGGAACAGGGATGGTCTGAAAAACAGACCTACCAGTGTCCCGCACTATCCCAATGCCACTTCCTTACAGTCAGGCAAGGATTGGTCCATCACTCACTCACTGTCCCTCGACTCATCTCCCCAATTCACAAGACTCCCTTCTCATTTAGTAACTCCCTACTTTCCCAACGGTGGCATTGAAATCTTAAGTTCCAAGACTGGGACGGCGGTGCAGAATTGTCCGGGTTCGTAGTTGGGAATGGCGCAGAATTGGAGAGACCGGAACTCCACCACTTTGCTCAGTCAAATTCTCAACAGAAAGGCCCAAGTTCACAGGATCCACAGCATTGTTACTGAGTGGAAGGAGGCATTCGGCCCATCATGCATCGATTGTCCGGTCATTGCGCCAATCTCCCGCCTTTGCCCCATATCACCCATTGGTTTCTCATTCTAGGAACCATTCCAGTTGGACCATCCTTGTCTATAGACAACTGAGGGCCCGGAAGAGGTGAATGAGTGACCAGTAGGGGGCCTCACCTGTCAGTTGTCTACAGGAGGGACGAGATGAGTGGACCGAACCGACTGGTGGTCTATTAGGAACAAGTCGGTCAGTTTGGGGAAAGAGCTCTCTCGACCCGCATTAATTTATACCTGATCGAGAGGCTGGGCAGCGGGTGACCGCTGAGACCACTCCCTTTCCTTCACACCTCTCCCTATCACCCCAACATCTCTCCACCCCAAAGAACGCTTACATTTCCTGTGAGCGACCTTCCTTTTCGAGGTCCGAGGGGATTTTCCTGTACAGTAGCAGCCAGTACCTCCAATCGGTTGGCACCTGCTGGTAGCTTGGGCCTTCAGGCAGTAACTCCAGTAGAAGTGTCACCAACACGCTGCATAACTGCCAGAAGATCTAGTAAGCTTTCCCATTCTCCACAGACCTCGCGCTTTCCTCATCCAAATTCTTCCCTTTTGGACTTAATTCGAGTATAGGAAGATCCTGGTCCGTGCTCCCCTCCCCTCCCCCAAATGGCCCTCTCAACCCACCCAGAGGCCCTAACACTGACTCTGAGAATGTGCAGCAAATACCAACAACCTCTACACCTCAAACTGTGCTCCTTAGAAGAGAAGGCTAGGATAAGACTTGATAGAGGTCTTCAAAATCATGAGCAGACTGGATGGTGTAGAGAGGGAGATGCTGTTCCCACTCAAAGAGGAACAAGGATGAGAGGGTATAGATTTGAAGTTGATGTGTGAATGAAGCAAGGGTGATGTGAGAAAACATTTTTTCACACGGCAGGGATAAGAGAGTGTCGGAGTGGGGAGTCCGCTGTCACACGCTGCAGGGCCCATAATCAGGGGTGATGTGTTCTGTTCCCAGTTCGGCTGTGATCATTGCCAAATGGTAAATTATTTCAGGGCAATTAATTCTCTGTTTTAATGATAGCACGGTGTTTCAGTGGTTAGCACTGCTGCCTCACAGCGCCAGGCACCTGAGTTGGATTCCACCCTCAGGTGACTGTCTGTGTGGAGTTTGCATGTTCTCCCCATGTCTGCGTGGGTGCTCCAGTTTCCTCCCACAGTCCATAGTTGTGCAGGTCGGGTGGATTGGCCATGCTCAATTGCCCCAAGGCATCCAAGGATGTGCCAGGTAGGTGGATTAGCCATAGGAAATGCAGGGTTACTGGCTTGGGGTGGATCTGGGTTGTATGCTCTTCAGAGGGTCGGTGAAGACTCGATGGACTGAATGGCCTCTATCTGCACTGTAGAGATACTTATGATTGGTAGGGAATGGAATGCCGTCTGGAAATGTGATGGAGGTAGGTTCAATTCAGGCATTCGAAAGGGCATTGGTTATCTGGATACAAATGGAGTGTGCAGGAGATTGGCCTTTGGTGACACAGCTCGTCAGGAGACAGGGCTCTGGGGAAAGCCCAAACATATTCACAGGGCTAGCGATACAACTTGTGACAGCGACAGACACAGGTCCCTCAATTCAGGACCTCCCCCTCTCGAGTTAATCCTCAGAATTAATGGAAACCTTCGAAAAGGTCACTCAGGGTGCCTCTGGTGGAGTCACCTCAGGGAAGCTGGTCTGTGGCAGAAGGAGAGATGGCATCAGTGCTACCCTTGGATCAACGCTGTATTACAATCCTACTCTGTCAGTGTGCCACCGCCCTTACTAACAGGCAGAATCGGCAAACTCAAAATATCAGACACTCAGGGGCTGTTTTCAATGAAAACACCAGCTCTAGCCTCTACAGCAGTCATTCCAAAGGATGCAATGCCCCAGAGAGCAGTCGCCAAATCCAAAAATAGCAAATCTCAGTTGACCATTCTAATATGTGGGGTTGGGTGGGGGGTTGGGTGGAGGTGGGTGGAGGTGGTGATTTGGTCAGTGAGTGAGGGAATGGGATCCTGCGTTTCATTCTTGCTCAACTCTCTGAAAAAGAGTGTAAAATTCATCAGCAAATGGATTCTTGGCAAATCTTGGCAAACACCCTTTGTCTTCTTTCCCCTGTGTAATAAACCACTGATCGCAGACCCACTAGAGGAGGAGATGGGGGGGCGCATCACGTTTACATCACAAGTGTAGTAATCCGGTACGGAGCAAATTTTACCGGAACATCGCAGCGGGACAGGCAGCATCCATGGAGACAGAGTAAGCTAACGTTCTGAGTCTAGATGAAGAGCCACCCAGAGACCCCGGTAATGTTCTGTGGACCCAGGTTTGAAGCCTGCCTGGCAGATGCTGGAATCTGAATTCAATAAATATCTGAATTAAGAGTCTAATGATCACCGTGAAAACACTGTCATGTGTGGTAAAAAAACCCATTGGGTTCACTAATGTCCTTTAGGGAAGGAATTTACTGTCCTTACCCGGTCTGGCCTACATGTGACTCCAGACCCACAGCCATGTGGTTGACTTTTCATTGCTCTCTGGGCAATTAGCAATAGGCAATGAATATTGGTCCAGCCAATGATGTGTTTGAATAAATAATGCAGAACTTCCAAGCCCTGCTGCGTACCTACAATTGGGTGTTATTATTATTAACAGCTCGCCAACTGCTAAAACATGCCTTTCATAAATGCCAACAGCCTCCTCTGTCCTTCGCCTCTGGCTACTACCACCCTCCCTGCCAACTACCAGCCAAGGAAACATCAAACCCTGGCAGCCCATTCCTTTACCCATCCTGACCCACACCCTACTCACCCCTTCACACTCCCTCAATCCCAACCTCAGCCTTCTGCTCCCCGAGGTGTGGCAAGGAGAAGACATTGAAAGAAATTCCCAATCCTCATTTGCTAGAGATCGGCTTCGATTACAGTCGGGGGGGGGAAAACAGGGAAATAATGGCAAGTCCAACAAGGAGGTGGAAGGAGAATTGGGAAGTGCCAATGGGAAAGTGTGGAAGGAGACAATGGAGAGATGGGAAACGGAAAGATGTGTTAGGATTAGGGTGGGGAAAAGCAAATGGAGGTGAGGTGGGCTTGGTGGTAAGATGGGGAGGAGGTGAAGGGGCAAAGGAGAGGAGGAAATGGGTGTTGAAGAGGGAGGGCAAAGAGGAGGTCAAATTTTGTAAAAGTGCGAGTGAAGGGGAGTAGTGGATGAAGGGGCAAGATGGCGAGGGAAGGGACTGATGGGGAAGAGAGGGAGAAAGTGGGGAGCTGGGGAGGAAGAGGGAGATGGAGGGAATGGGGGTAAATGAGGGTGCTTGGGCTTTGACAGCTCCCCACCAAGGAAAGGATATGGCCACTCGATGACCTTCCTGGCGGATTTCCTGACGATGTTGTCCTCCCCAAACAGGAAGAGGGACCTGTTGGCTGTCAGGCAGTTGTGTCGGACCGGGATGGGGTTATACAGGGCCATGGTGCGGGCTCTCTGAGCCCGGGACTGTTTGAATCCTCCGGGGCCCTGTGCTGCTGCCGCCGCCGCTGCCACCGCCGCTGCCGCTCCCACTGCTGCCGCTGCTGTGGCCCCAGCCCCGGGCACCTCATGTCGGCTCCGAGCCGGCTCCGAAACCGCGGGATCCAGCGACATCCCACTCGCCGCCTCCCCAAAGCGAGCCATCCTGCAGCATAGAGAGAGGGAAAGGAGGGGTCAGACACCCTCTGAGGGGGAAGGGGATTGTGGGGGGGGGTTTAAAAATGTGGTGGGGGGGGCGTGATAGAGGTAGAGACGGAGTCAAACACTGAAGGGAGGGGGAGATAGAGAGGGGTGTAAGTCACCATCTGAGGAGGGGAAGGGGAGTGGGGGGAAAAGAGAGAGAAAGGTGGTTCAGACACTGTCGGGGGGGGAGGGGGGGGGGGGGCACGGAGAGAGGTTCTGACACTGTCTGGGGTCAACTGGGGGGAGATGGGTGAGAAAAAGTGGATAAGAAGAAAAGGAGGAACAGAGAGAGGGAGAGGGGTTATCAGGCAGTGCCTGGGCGGGGCAGGTCAGACACTGTTGCAGGGGAGAAGTGGGGACAGAGACGGGGGAATGGGGTGAGAGAAAGAGAGGAGGGAACACAGGAGAGGAGGAGGTTAGACACTATCAGAGTTAAGGGAGGATGGAGACAGAGAGAGCGAGAGAGAGATGGGGAACACAGGTAGAGGGGGAGGTCAGCAACCATCAGGAGGAGTTAGAAGGGGGAGCAAATGGGAAACAGAATGATGACGGAGCAGGAGAGGGGCACAGAAAGAGAGGGGGAAGAGCGGAAGAGAGAGAAAGACAGCAGCTGTACCAGGCAGTGTCCAATGTGGAGTTGGTGAGGGGTGAGATGTGGTGTGGGGGAGTAGAGGATTGGATGGGGAGGGGGGTGATCAGACAGGGTCTGGGTCAACGTGAGGGAGTGTAGGGTGGAGTGTAGGGTAGAGTGCGGGTGAGATCAGTGTCAGTGGGGGAACAGGAGGGGAGACAGATTAGGCAAAGTAGGGAAGGGAGCAGAAACAGATACAGATAGTGGGGTAAGGGAGGGATGTAGAGAGATAGAGGAGGAGAAAGAGAGAGGGAGATTGAAGGTAGAAGAGAGAGGGAGAGAGAAAGAGGGTAGAAAGATGGGGGAAGAGATGGGAGATGGGTAAGAGAAAGTTGTGAGGGTAGAGAGACAGATGGGTGGACGGGGACAGAAACTGGGGGAGAGAGGGAGTGATAAAGGGTGACAGTGAGGTTGGGGGAGAGAGAGAGAGAGAAAGAGATGGATAGAGAAAGAAGAAAGGAGATGGGTAGAGAAAGAGAGAGGGAGAAGGGGATACAGGAGGGAAAACGAAATAGGGGGAAAAGAGAGAGAAAGAAATGGAGAGATCCTGCTTCACACCACAAAAGGCTGCCTTAGCTTAGGGGGCAAATCTGCAACAATCTCAGTCAAACATTGCAACAAGCATCTTGCTCCAGCTCCCAGCGATGCAGGCAGAGGAAGGATATGGGATGGAGGATGGGGGAGACAAATAAAAATGAGCAGCCCTCCCCCACAACACACACACAGAGACACTCGGCCAGGACCCGCTGAGGACCAGAAAAGAGAGAGAGAGATGTGGAATAAATTAAACCCTCACAGAAACAGCGTTGGTCCTGCTGGAGAGTGGATTGCGGCCACTATCAATTGAGATGTGAAGGATTATCAGACAAATATCCCTGTGCCTCACTGTGCCTGGAGGAGACAGAGGGAGGGAGGGAGGGAAATGCCGCTCCGGTCTCCAGGTAGTGCCTGGCCCAGCCCGGGGACCCTCTGTACCTTCTGGAGGATGGGTGGGGGTGACCGCATGTCCTAGGGTGGGACAGGACATCCCAGTTGTGAGTAACCCAGAGCCAGCCACATATTGCAATCCGAGTCCAATATTACCTCCCCCTACATCATTCACCCTCGCCTTTCGCTTCAATACGGTGCCCCTGCTCATTTTTTCCCCCTTTCCATTCCTCCCCCCCTTCCAATAAACACACAATTGCCAAACACACACCCCCCCCCCCCCAAATAAAAAGAATCCCCCCCCCCCCCCCCCCAACCTCCTCAGGTGGCTGACTACTAAATAAAATCACAGGCAGGCCCCTTCAGAACATTACAATCTCTCCTCCTCTCTGTAAAACTGCATCCCCTTCTCCAAATGACCCCCTCCCTCAAAAATCCCCCCACCCCTTTCCCCTGGTGATGGGGGTGATAGATGCTGCTCTCACCCGCCCGGAGCATCCACTGCTGGTTTCTCGACAGAAAGACGGATCCAATCGCGGAAATGAAAAAGCGCCGCTCACCTCCCTCCCCCTCTCCCGCCAATAATAAATTAATAACACAACACAAAGAGAGACGGAGGACAAATATTGCTGCCCGGTTTTTCACACTTACTCTGCGAAGAATCGAACCCAGGACGCAAGGGAGGGAGTGATGGCTCACAGCCCGACTCACATGGGGAGACAGAGAAAGAGAGAGAGCCTGGCCAAGGAGAGAGCGGTCTGTCAGAGACACTCACACTGCCGCCTATAGAGCAGGGCAGGGGATGGCAGAGGGACTCTGTGTCTGTGTGTGTGTTCAGGGCTGGCTCACAATCCGCCAGAGGGAGGGGAATACCTCATTCCATCTGCCCAGAGACTGACCCTCAACCCCCTCCGATCAAACCACCTGGCCTAAAGACCAGCCTCCATTGCTTACCCAACTCCCCCATATATTCTTGTCCCTATACTCACACTGCTGCCCCCCCAACAGCCCAGCCCTCAATGCGTCCACTTTCAACCCAATCCTGAATACTCCCTGA